CGTTGCCAGGGCCCTCAGGCCCTTACTACCCCTGAGCGACTGGACTTGTGTGGAGAGGACATGGACTTGGGCACCCTTGCACGACTTTTTCGCCCCTGCCCGGATTTCCTTCGCGGGGTGCAAAGATCTATTTCTGAGCGCTCGCGGGAAGGTCCGAGAACAGGGACGGCGTCGTTCTGGGACGCCAGACCCGGTTTCACTTTTTGAATTCGTTTTCGTTGCATGGGACGCGCCGCACGCGGCTCCGCAGTCCGTTGAATAGAATAGTGCTATTCCTCAGCAGTCCTTGGTATATGGTATACTTTAAGAATATACCCCCCCGAAACCCTACTCTACTTACTAGAGCCGAGGGCCCCTCTATCAGCTCCCTCAGGCAGCCAACCTTCCCGCCCCGGAGACTCCAGGTGGCCTCTTTGGGCTTGGGATTACATAGTGACATAGTCTTTCGGGAGAACCTACACCCTTACCCTGAATGTCGCTACGTTGCGACGATAGGGTAGAGAAAGCAACAGAGGTTCGGGATTTTCCGGGGTTTCGCGCCGAAGGCCCGAGCCGTTCACGGTTTTGCCTTTTGAAATTGCAACTTTTGGAGTTCAGAGCTTTGCTGTTCAAAGGTTCAGGGGTGCGGAGGTTGTTATAACGAGAGTGCAGGTTTTTTTGCGGATTTCTGCAGGTCATTTAGTATCTAGCAAGCCCAGACTCCTACGCAAGGCAACCTGATGCAGTGTCTCCACCGCCGGTTCTCATCCAGCACATGCTACGGTCTTGGCCACATAAATGCCCATGTGAAGAGGCACAGAGTTTTAGGTGTTCGGCTCCAAAGCCCAACGCCCCCGGCCATTCGCAGCGTTTTGCTCTTGGGGTTCACCGTTTCTTTTGTGCTGGGAAGCTGAGCCCTAAAGTCTACACCCCAAACCTTAAGCTCTTAAACTTGTCTTAAACCCTAAACCCCCGAATTAAGACTCAGCCCAGCTTGTCCCCTTCAACCCGACACTCCGCTCCAAATGCCTGTCAGCCTCAACGCCTCTGTTGAAGAGCTCCCTGGAGAAAGTGTCGGCCGGGTGCCAAGCCAACCGGATGCCTTGGGTCTCAATAAAGTAGTAGTAGTAGTAGTAGTAGTAGTAGTAGTAGTAGGCGCCCCCCCTACCAACTACACTTGCTTAAAACCATGTTAAGAGCACATCCGTTTTACTCGGTATTTACGGCACTTTCGGCATGTATGATCATCAAAAGAGGCCTCGAAATCCACTTGCCGAGTTTGCTAACTCGACCTCTTGATTTTGGACTTTTTTCTTGGGTGGGTGGGGGGGGGGGGGGGGGGGGG